CCTCCTCTGTTCCTTCGTCCGACTCTCGTCCTCGCATTTGAAGGACTCCGGGCTTCTGGGAGGACTTGAGCGCCTGAGGCGGCTTTGACAGCGCAGAAGTGGAGGTGCTTTGATGTCGCGGGGTACCTTCTTGCGTCCTCTTTGGATCAGGGTCCGGATTGAGCAAAAGACGATAGCGCCCCTCCAACGACTCAGCGACTTCGAGCATTTGCTCTTTTCGCCTCTCTCCTTCAAGCAAGGCAGGTGAGTCCAGCCCGTCGATAGAGGGCACTGAACTCGGTATTTGTGTGGGAGCAGTATCGTTGAAGGTGGAGGCAGGGACAACCATGAATGCAGACGGATCCATGGAACGTAGTTGGTCTATGCGCTCCTTGAGCTTGTAGTGCTCGTAAGTGAGCTTCTCCTTTTCGCGTAGCCGCTGTCGTTTTTCAAACGTCTCATACTTGCGATGACGTTTCTCATATGCGGCATCTGATGTGTCTGCGCCATCCTGCCATCCAGAGCATGAGCGTCAGAGTAGCGGATATGGTGGAGACCCCATATTTGTCTGGAGATATACACACCTCTTCACTTGCTCGTGCACGAAACCTTCCACCCACCGCGGCGTGCTCGTCTAGAGGAGTGAAGTCGGGTGTCTGGATGATGGACTGTTCGCGATAGGCCTTCAGAACCTCGGGTTTATCGAAGTAGCGGTCATAAGCCACAGTGTTTATGGCTAGCTTGAGAGGAACACCCGTAGACGATTCTGGCACATGTGCAGGGCTCGTTGCGAGCAGGAACCTTGTTGAGGTCGGTATCAATGGGTCAGACTCGTCTACGTATGTCCCCGCCCAAGAAAACGTTAGTAGACAGAGCATAGTTCGCAGGATATTAAACGCACGTTTCCGTTTTATAGTCTCCAAGATCATGATATCTGCGTCGCTGTTTCCGACACCCGCACCTCCTCTCCGCGAACGCGCAGGGAGGATACGTCGCCGGGTCTGCATGGTGGTTGTCATAGCAGGTGGGAGAGCAGATAGGGACGGTCCAGCAACCGGTTCGCTGGAGGACTCAGCCTCTACACCAGTCTGTTTCTTCCGCGGCATGGATACAAGTTGACGAGGTCGCGTCGGTACGTATCTTGCCTTATACGGAACGTAGGATCGGCAAGAATGGAGCTGCAGCACGTAGTCGGGTTGCCACAGAGAAAATAGGAGCGGTAACGCAGCGAAGATTGAGCTTCAGGAAGGAGGGGGAAAGGGGATGATGTGACGCTGCGGTGCGCTGGACAACGAAAAACTCTGAATCTGGCAAACGCGTCTTGGTTCAAACCCCCTTCTAACCGTGTGAACTGTGGCGCGCTTCATTTCGTAGTCCAGCAACAAACGTAGTTTGTAAAGCTACATGATGATTACAACAGTTGTAGCAACAGGAAACACTATCCCCCGTGCCCGTTCTGATTATCACCATTCTGGCTTTGGCCACTCTGTCCGTTGGAGTGAGCTGAACCGTCCCAATTCGAGTACCACCCAGGCTGTCCATATTGGGGAAGGTTTTGCTGCATGAATCCCATACCCAACCCAAACTGCGACGCAAACCGAGGGTTGATGTGGGGTTGAACGAACTGGTGGGGCTGAGGAGCATAGGGCAAGTGCCCCGAGGGTTGCCCTTGATATTGGTCGTAGGTCCACGAGCCAACATTGCCTGAATGCTGCTCTGAGGCTCCTGGACCGTGACCGTCATCGTACTGCCCAGTCGCGCGAGCAATGGCCATTGACGTTGGAGACATGGCACGCGAAAAAGAAGCGCCACCTTCCAATTTTTGTGAGCGAGGCCCAGACGTCCAACCATGTCGCTCTCCACCACGTCCGCGTCGCCCACCCCGTCCGCTGGTACCACGAGCCCCGCGTGAGCCACCACCCCCACGGTCGAGACGTCTCCCTCCCCCTCTGGCTCGGCCCCGGTCGTATTCACCAGGATATCGGCTGGGGGTACGTTCAACAGATACCGACGGTGTACCCAACGGTTCGACTTGGCCTGCGCTGCCGATATTGACGTTGTAATCGTTGGAATAAGGATCGTCATACGGAACGGGAGGGGGGCGAGAGGGACCGGCTGCGAAATCAACGTCATAGGGCCCGTGTGCATCGTATGGATTTGAGCCATAGAGGACGTCAGCAGATATCCCTTGGTCTTGATATGATGACGGTGCCGGCGTCGAACGTGCAGAAAATGATGATGGTTCCCGAGACCCTTGCCTCCTACGCGACTGAAGTCAGAAACGATGGATCTCTAGGGAGACGCAAACAGACCTCTGCTTCAGCCTCGCTTTATGCGCCGCTTCCTCATCATCATCGGAAAACTCTAGCTCGTATTCGGCGGGTTCCTCGTCGTGGACATTGCTAGCATCGCTGCCCTTGAACCTTTTGATTTCGTTGAGGAACACGAAATTGCTCCACGCAGGAACATGGAACACATCGCGGCCGACTTGTATGTTCTCCGTGTGGAGAGGATACTTCTCGCCAAATTTGATCTGGTACATTGGTTGATAGGTTGGTCCGAATGTTTCGTACACCTGCATCGCAATTGAGTTGAATGAAGTGCAGAGGAACGGGCACTATACGCACGTATCCCAGTACTTTTCTATCTCCGAAGACGAGGAGGGTATCAGAATCCAGTGCCTTCTCAGACGCTCGATGCATCGATTCCCCAGCCTCGCCCTTCACGATGACCATGTTGTGCAGAAGGCTCATGACTTGCCCTACCTTTTCCAGACTCTCATTTGGTCCAACCTCCACAATCTCAGGAATCTTGAAGTCTCCTTCAGGAAGTTCGTTCTTCGTCCGGATGACGGCAGTGGTAGAGGGGCCTCCTTCGCCGTCCTCCTCGTCCTCATCCTCGTCCTCATGTTGTCGCTTGGCTGCCTTTCGCGTCAGAACGTTGTCATTATCGTCAGAGTCTGATGAAGAGATTGAAGATACATCTGACGCGGTGTCCGATGGTTCAGAGCTGCACTATTAGAGTGAGAATCCGTGGGTCAACAAAAACTGGATGAAAACCTACGGCTCTTTGTGAGTTCCGGGCGCGGAATCGTCCTCGTCAATAAGGATTCCTGCTTCGACTTCGTCTTCACTATTGGCCTCGTCACCAGAACTTGCGACGGAGTAGTCATCATGAACAAGGGCCGAGTCTGTGTGAGATGCGGAAGACGGCGGCTGGGGAATATGGCCAACTATATCTTGTATGAAAAGGAGATCCTGAGGCAATATACTGGGAACCTTGAAAGAAGGATCCATGAAGACAGTGTAACCCAGTAGCTGTGGCGGAGAGAGGAGTGATAACTAAGTTTTGAAAAAACCGACGCGGCGAACGCGACTGGACGCGTCGAATTATCGTGACGCGTCTTGCCATCAACCGTCACCATAGGTCACCATGCTCAGAGCCACCCGTCTCGCACCTTCTCCTCTTCGCTCTTACTCCACCTCGACGGAGAAACCCTCCCTCAAACTTGTTGCAGAACTACGAAAGCTCACGGAAGTCTCAATAACCAAGGCTCGTGAGGCGCTAACCGCCAGCAACAACGACGTCACCGCCGCTCTCAAGTGGTTGCAAAAGGACCTCGCCGTTTCAGGAGCGAAGAAAGCCGCCAAAGTCCAAGGAAGAACAGCCGGAGAGGGCCTCATCGGTGTTTCCGTTCTCTCTCATGGGACGGGCTCGCAAAGCTTGACGGGTCACGGCGGAGTGCGCGCTGCAATGATCGAGCTCAACTGTGAAACCGATTTTGTAGCACGCAACGAGCTATTTGGCCGGCTCGTTGCAGATATCGCGCACACAGCTGCCTTCATCTCAGAGCCCGACGCTGCAGCACCGTCCTATATCAAAGCCGTCTCGTTAGACCTGCTGAATGGCGCGCCTTTGCTCTCTTCCACTGGCGCGTCTCCCCAATCAACGGTCGGCGACGCGATCCGAGATACAATCGCCAAGGTTGGAGAGAAGGTCTCGCTACAGAGAGTTGTGTCCGTCGCACGCGATCCTCTGCCCCCAAACCAACCCGGCCTCGGCCTCCGCGTTGCATCTTACACTCATGGTGCCGTAAACCTTCCCTCTCAAGGCCGAATAGCCAGCCTCGCGCTTTTGGCTCTCAAGTCCCCTCGCCTTCCCGCTCTTCTTCAAAATGAAACATTCCGAGAAGATCTGGAGAGGATAGAGCGCTCCTTGGCTCGTCAAATCGTCGGGTTTGATACACGCACGATCCGCCCGCCCCCCGGAGAGTCAGACGAGACTGCGTTATATGGCCAACCGTTCGCCATGCTGGCCGGGTCGCCGACAGATGACAAAGTGGGGGCTTTCCTGGAGCACTGGGCTCGTGAAAAGGGGCTGGTGGTTAATACGGAAATCAGCGGATTAGAGGTCCTGGAAATGGAGCGGTGGACCGTTGGCGAGACAACAGCTTGAGTATCCTGCGACTTTGGTAAGTTTCTTTCACGTCGTTTCTGCTATCCTCTGACAAAGCAGCTCGCGGCAGACTTTAGGAATGTTGTCTATGTTTATCTTCCCACTAATTCCCCACCACCACCACCACTCTAATCATACTTCACGCAATCTTTTTGTTGCCACAGACACGGAAAGTACACCTCGCATGTGCTGTATGTTGGTCCCAATTTGGAACCATGTATGAAGGCAGTGTCTTTGCTGGTGCTCAAAACCCGCGAGTGGTCTTAGGGCGAAGGCACTCATCTGCCCCGCCCTGCCCCAACGTAAACAGATGCTGAACCTCTATCGTTCCAACGCTGAGCAGTGTGCAGTGCACTGTATGACTGTCACGACTCGGTATTAGACGATGGAAAGTTGAATGCCACATGAACTTCGTGGAACTGGAAGCCTGGACTCTGGAATTGTGTCACTGTCACCTGTGTGAGTCCGTGAAACGGTGAAGTTTGATTCTTGAACCTTTGATTTTGGAATTTTTGTTTTGTAAAATTGTAATTTGTAATTGTAAATGGTTGGAACGCGGAAAAAATAGACCCTATCGTGATTCGAACACGAGACCCTGCGATAATGAAGCGTAGCTGCAATCGCATGCTCTAAACCGCTGAGCTATAGAGTCACCGCAGAAGCTGGCGACCGTGTAGATGTACAGACTCAGACACTGGAGGACCCCTTGATCCCTTGATCCCTTGATCCATTTGGACCAGAAACGCTCCTTGGCTTCGCCTTCATCTTCATGACAAGCATACAACGCTCCGGGATATGGGGCCCCGTCACGGCCACCCTAGACTGGTGTGAGGTATGTCGCGTTTTACTTTGTATGAGCGACCCAACCGACATTTGATAGGCGAACTACCAATTCTCTCATTATATCGCAGAGTCCGCAAACGCCTGGTCGAACGCCGCGACCCTTGCATTCGCCGCGTATGGAGTGAAATTCGTCTTTACAGAGTCTCTTCCGGCTCGCTACTTTGGTAGCTTCGCCGTCAGCCTTGTTTTTCTTTCCTTGCGCCAGACTTCACTGAATAACGCATACTCCAGGGACTGGCTCTCGTAGCCTTAGGTAGCTTTGCATTTCACGCTACGCTTCTTTATGAGGCTCAGATGGCGGATGAACTCCCGATGATATACACGACGAGCTGGAGCAACTATCTTCTCCTTGATACTCGGCCAGGGTTTGCCTCTACCGCATACAGCAAGTATTTGATGGCTGCTACTCTGGTGTTCAACATCTTGTTTACCTGGTCATAGTACGTCTCGTTCCGGACATGCGCTTGTAATACTGACTAACGCGCACGATAGTTCACTCTACCGCAACCCCGTGTATCATCAAGTTGTATTTGGATTGCTTCTTGTAACTTCAACAACGAGGACGTTATATCTCACGCAATGGTCCGCTACCTCTCTCACGTTGCCGGATAAAAAGAAACAAGAGACCATGTCCCTTATGAGAATTGGAGCATTGTTATTTGTGATCGGGTTTGCTATTTGGAACGTGGACAACGTCTTTTGCGGAACCATCACGGGCTGGAAACATGCCGTGGGATGGCCTGTAGCTTTTCTATTGGAAGGTTCGCGTTTCCGTTTCGTCTTAGCGTACGACGGTCACCGACTTCTTGTTTTCCCTAGGACATTCATGGTGGCATGCATTTACAGTAATGATTACGGTCACGTCCTCTTGAATGATAACTGATGTGTCTCTAGGGTGCTGGATCTTATTTTATGCTCCAGGGCACCATCTGTGAGTCTCCATAAAAATGCTCCCTTTGATGTGACATAGTACTAACTTGCGAAATCTGTGCCAGATCTGTAAGCAACTTCACGCAGTGAACGCGACTCGATATCCTAACTGTGATTTAATCAGGTCATTGTGCCTGAAGGGCGATCACCACCATTATGCGCTTCACTATACATATGGGTTACCGGCGATTCGACGGGTCACGAAGAGCAAAGCAAACTAGACGGGGGTGACTCTTCATCGGACGCTTATTCTCGGATGTACAGTAAAAATGCGCTGGAAAATATGTAGATTGCTGTATTTCTTTACTAACGGGACATCATCCATCTGTAGTAATAATCCTCCCCAAGCTGCAGTCTGAAGATCTGAAATGTGTTACTTAGAAGGGAGCACGTGCACACCCCTACGAGCGGACGCGCGTAAGTCACGTACCTACGGCAGTGGGATTCGGAAGACCAGCAAGTTCTTAGCACTGACCGTCATCGCGTCATCCCACGTCCGTTCGTCGTTGTCGTGCACCGCGCCGTCCCTGTCCAGTGTCTACGTCCCCGGAGAGGCGTCATTATGCGCAAAGTTCCTTTCACCGCAGTTCGTCGTGGGCTGCAGCGATCCCACCCCCGTCGGTCATCCACTGCAGCAGTCAACCCACCTGTACAAATCACCACCCTTCCAAACAAGCTCAGGGTTGCCACGGAGTCCACCCCAAGTCACTTCTCCTCCGTTGGCCTTTACATTGATGCTGGCTCTCGCTATGAGACTCCAGCTACATCCGGAGTTAGCCATTTCCTGGACAGGATGGCATTTAAAGTGTGTACGCATTTCTTTGTCGAAGTGTTCACCCCCAACCGCCATGTTTTGTCAGAGTACGTCTGCCATGTCGGACAGCGAAATGGCATCTGCCATGAACACCTTGGGCGGTCAAATATTGTGCTCCTCGTCACGAGAGACCATCATGTATCAATCCTCGCATTTCCACCAAGCCACACCCCTCGCTCTTTCCCTTATATCCGATACCGTACAGCATGCCGCCTTCCTCTCCGAAGAGCTTGAAATGCAACGGGACGCGGCACGCTACGAGATACGGGAAATACGGGCCAAACCAGAGTTAATCCTCCCTGAAATCCTCCATGAAGTGGCATATGGAGGACAGGGCCTCGGGAACCCCGTGCTCTGCCCCGAACACCAAATAGATGTCATTGACGAACCCCTCATGCGCGACTTCATGCGTCAATGGTATCGTCCGGAACGCATGGTCCTCGCCGGGGCAGGGATGCAGCACGAGGAACTTGTCGAGCTCACTGACAAGTTCTTTTCCTCGCTAAAGTCCCCCGCATTGGATGCTTCTTCCTTGTCCACACCCCGGACGAACAACGCTCAACATGTGCAACCGCATCTGCTCTCCTCGTCTTCCCCATCCATGCTTAAGTCTCTTGCCCGAGCGGCTTCTTACCTTTACCCCACGGCCAATGCGCCTGTGTCGACATCTGACCTTGCGCATGTACCCGGAGAGCAAACATACACCGGCGGACACCGCTTCATCCACGATCCGGAATCGGAACTCAACCACATTTATATCGCATTCGAAGGGGTGGGCATCCACGATGAGGATGTGTACGACCTTGCTACCATGCAAGTACTCCTCGGGGGCGGCGGAAGTTTCTCCGCAGGTGAGTAGGCTTTCTTTCTCAACTCCGCCCTTCCCTAACGTATGCCTCCAGGTGGTCCGGGCAAGGGCATGTATTCTCGACTGTATACTCACATCTTGAACCACCATTCGCAGGTTGATCACTGCGCCTCTTTCCACCACATCTACACAGACAGCTCGCTGTTTGGCCTGTTCGCTTCATTCTTCCCGGCGGCAAACAGGAGAGAGGGCAGCACACCTGCCCAAATACTCCCTCATTTGGTGCACCAGCTTAGCTTATTGCTGTACCGTCAAGTGCCTATTTCAGAGCTGAGCCGAGCGAAGAACCAGCTAAAGTCGATTCTTGCTATGGCTTTAGAGAGCCAAGCCATTGAAGTCGAGGACCTAGGTCGTCAGGTGTGTTGCGCTCTCTTGAATCCGAAAATCACAACTGAAGTGCTGCTCAGTTACTTGTCCATGACCGGAAGGTTCCAATTTCGGAGATGTCAGACAAGATCGATGCCGTAACACCGGAGTCGCTCCAACGAGTGGCGACACGCGTGTTTAGTCCCCAAGCTGGGGCAAAACCTACTATTGTCACTATGGGACGTGCCGACGTAGGGGACTGGCAGAGCACTTTCCGGAAGTACGATGTCGGGTCAACCTAGTTCATATCATTGCGTGTTGCTCTACATCGCCTACTGCACGTTTAATTTAATAGCGCCTTGCATCCCCAGTCTGTTCAGGCAGTGTTGTTAGAAAGTGTGCTTCGTGCGTGTATCCTTGTACAAAAGCGGTGGGTTCTTTTACATGTTCCAGTGGAACGACCTTTAAAGGTTCCACGTCTTCGTCTTTGACCTTTATGAGTCTGTCACAATCCTTGATGCTGTACTTCCAGTCCCAGGGCATACGGAAGTTGGGGGCAGTGCTCTCCGAGTATACGGGCGTGAACTTGAATAAGTGGTACACAGCAAAACTAATACACATTGAAGAGCATGGGAGTTACATTGAAGCGCACGAGAGTCTTGTTAGGGATCAAACAGCACTGTCATACATTACAATAGGTTTACAACTTCGTCCAGCGAGAGTTTCTTCGAGTGCATAGGTACACACGTGAGTCCTCGTCCGTATGCCGCATCCAGGCGCCGTGTTGGGTAGGCTGGAGATTTGTGATCTGTGAAAGAATTATAGACTAGCCTTAAATATGACGGACAGTCGCCACGCACCAGGAACCTCTGCCCTTCTTTGAAGTATCCTGGTTTGCCATCGTCGAAACTCAGTGTAAGCACGTCCCAAACAGTGATTTCGGCGGTGCGTGTCCCTGGTCGTCTTGAGGTGTTCGCATCTGTCATGAATAATACCCGGAAACTACGGACGTTACGGGGAGGGCAGATTTTCTAGAGAGCGTGCATGAGAGCTGGCAACAGCTAACTCAGGTCCAACTTACCTTCAGGTCTTGCTCTATTTCTTCATCCGCCTGCTCTTGTTCCTTGAGGACGCGGTTGGTGATGAAATCCGCCAACCATCCCGCGTTCATTGGGCTCAGACGAGAGGCTAGCCGATTAATGTCGTCTTCTCCGTCTACCAACCGGTCGAACATGTCCTCCAGATCGTTGGGAGGAGAGTCTGGACACACTGTCAGGCCGCCCTTCTCCTTACACTAAAAGAGAGAATAGTGACCTTCTTCTTTGGGATAGAAGTGCCCTCGGGACTTCCGCATCAGCCGATCCACCCAGTCATTGTAGATATTGTGTTTGCCACGAATCTCCTGCCGTAGTTTGTCTTCTTCTCGTTCTCGTTGTGCCTGTACCAGGTCTGTATCGATTGGAGCGGGGTGAGGAGAGAGCTTACCAGCCAACGTTCATGGACTTTGAATTCTTCATCCTCCTTCCGAGGCCCTTCTCTTCGTTGACGTCCGTTTTCCTCCACGAACTCAATGTATGCAATGGGGTACATCTGTCGCAACCATTCAGATTCGCCTTCTGCCTATGGAGGAAATTTTACCTTGGCCACCACTAGATCTGCCAATTGTACGAGACCTCCGTCTGGAGTCAGGCTGTTCAGGGTAGTGATAGGAGGTTTAGGCATGAATCCAAGTTTGGCGTGCCAAGGCGCAAGATGTGTTGCATTCCCCATCAGGATAAGATGAACAGTACTGTATGCCTCCAGAACTTCGCAGGGTTCTGAACGTCCTGTTGACAACTACATCCCAATAAGATCGTTTTCGTGATATAGAGTTGAGCCCCTACCTTCGCGC